AGACGAGATGATGTGGATAAATTTTTTTATACATCTTCGATCTATTCACTTTCCATGTAAAGCTGTATATGTATTCATTTTCATTGTACGTTATTCCATTCTTTATACGATCGTTTAATACAATAATTCGAAGTAGAGCAAAGTCACTCATTTTAATATTCAAGAATAAAATTACAAATCAAACTACTTAGGGCAATCCAAAAGGTAGTGTCGTCAAGGTCTTATTTTCTTATAACAAGCCTAAAACAATTTCTTTTTTTATGCATAGATAGAGCGTCTTTCGCTCTCTTTTTCTGTGCTATTTGATCAATCTTTACTTAAAATCAAAATAAAAAAATCTTCGATAAAAACTATTTTTGTTAGAAGCTGGTTGGTGGTATACGACGGTAATATGACTACAATAAATGGTAGAACTTTGTATCTCATATTTAGGTCCCAAAATATGTCTTATTAGAAAAATAAAATATGCCATGAGATGCAGCGTGAAAAGCTCTACCATCTACAAACTAAACCTTATTTTATAATGCATTTTTCCTGTTCAAATAAAAACAAAATTTCTATGTGACTATTTTTTGATGCTATGAAGAAAAGGAATTATTTGTCCAACAAAAACTGGTCTTCTTAATAACGTCGAAGATTGGTCACATAGAAATTTTGTTTTTATTTGAACAGCCCAGGTTTAAAAGCCACGATCGTATACGACCGTATACGAAGAAATACGACTTATTACGACGATCGTATACGATCGCCGTATACGATTGCCGTATACGGCATAATACGATTTCATACGACTGTCGTAAACGACCACTGCATACGACGACCGTAAACGGCGCTCGTATACGATCGTATATTTGTCGTATATTTTTCTTATGTGTAGCAGGACATCTTGTTAACTAGCCAAGAAAATATTTTACCGAAGAATTATGCTGACAAAAAGGCTGAATTGAATAATTTCATAATATAATTCTACCTCTACATTTATTTAGTATTTGATACTATACGACGCGCGACTACCAATGTTAACGTTAGGATACACTCGGCATAACGAATAGAAAGCGTCTGTAAAGAAAAGAAAAAGGATATGGAAAAACATTTATGTGAACAGAAATGTAAAAAAAAAAAAGAATACAAAAGAATGTGGCAGGTGTTACAGCCAGAAAGCAATAAATATCCTAATATTCTTTAAGATTGATATAGCAGTAAAAAGTTCGAAACAAGATAATTCAGGTTAAATTTTCATCACTTTCTTGTCATTTTCAACTTACAAATAGTTATTTATTGTTCGCCGTTTCAATGTTCTTTCTCTCTTTCATTCGTGTTAGATAGTTAATACATTACTTGAATAATTATACACATTATGTGTTTTTTTCTAGTATTATATATTTCATTGTTGGCGTCCTATTGTGATGATAGATATGATACATGCATTTTTCTTAGTATAGTGCATTTTGACTTCACATTTGAATCGTTTTATTTATATTTGTACTTGGTCATACTGACTAGGTCTATTCTATATAGCAATGCAAGAACATAAATATAACATAGTTTTCATCGAATATTATGCGTTTCCTTTTCGAAGTTTTGTTGAAACCTTATGATTTAGATTATTTGCGTCTATTATTATTAAATTAACATATTGTCTCAAATATGTATCAACATCTCCGTATCGCTCTTGAACATGCTCAAGAACGATTACAATATCGACAAGAACAAAGTAATATCCGTCGTCGTCGTCGAAAAACAATTGAAATATGTTCAACCACAGTTGCTCAGGATCCTGTAACAACAAATGATAATCCAAAGGAGAAAGGGTCAAACGATCATCTCGAGATGATACAACAACTGTCAACTGATCCTGAAGAAACATTAGATATTGACGCTGATTTCGATCTTCTTTCACTTGAAGAGGATACAACTGAACTTCCATCTGGACTTAATTCATACTGTGAAGTGCCTTTTGATGATCAAGATGAGCCACTCGCATTAGATGATTTATTCCCACCGAATAACAATCAAAATAGTTCTTATCTCCATTCACATACAACCATCAAAACACACGATTTTTGTAGACAATTAATTGAAATTTTTAGAGATGCTAATATTAGCAACGTCCATTGTTCACGTTTTCTTCGGGTGATTAATGGAGTTCTTCCACAACCTCATAATTCACCAACAACATTAAAAGCTTTATATAATTCAATGCAAGGTAAATTTGTATTTTTTTATCAAAATGATATAACTACTCCGAGTCTGTTAAACAAGACTAGTACTATATTGAGGAAGTAGAAAAATCGAAAACTATGTTTATTTGGTATTCTCGTTTTAGTCGAACAACTCTTTAATAAAAGGTTGATTTGTACTCAATGTCATAGTAGTTTGTTCCATAATGACAAAACGTGTAACAATTGTAATTCACTTGACGATAAATCAATTGCTACTATATTTGATGTTAATCAACCATTAGTATTCGCACGAACTTTGGATCGTCTTTTACCTGATATTGAATGTAATCGGAAACAAATCATCGTCGATCATTTATCGCCATACAACAACAACGATATTATGTTTAATAAAATCTATCAAGAACTTCAAAACAAATATGGTTCATTGCCATTTATTTCTTTATTGTTACACTTGGATGGCATTAGTTTATGCAAATCAAGCAAGCTTACCTTATGGTTATTCAGCTGCAGTTTAATTGAACTTCCTATCCATCTACGGTATCGCCGTTTTAACATGGTTATTCTTTCCGTTTGGATTGGCCATTGCGATCCACTTATTGATTTATGGTTAAGTGAATGTTTACAACAGCTGAGGATTCTCAAAGATACAGGTATTTATAAATTTCATTCTGTAATAAGACTTACCGAACAACAAATAAAAAATGTAATATATAGAACTACGATCGGTTATAAGAAGGAAGTATTTCTTACAAACCAATCGTTTCAAAGAAAAAAAATTCATTTATCAGGAAAATTTTTTCGGGTGTAATACACATAAAATTTTTGCTGAAAAAAAGTGATTAATGTCCTTTATGTTGGTTTTGCTAATTGTGAGGTAGCATTAGGTTTCCGAGTTCTTCGAATTCACTGCTGAAAATACTGTTTTTCTCGTTTTAACTTTCAAGTTATACTAATAAAGAATATTAGACAGCTTTTAACTAAAATCTAATTTTGTTTACAATTGTAGGTGTTCCAACTCGATCTGGTGTAAATTACAAACTGGTAGTTTATGGACTTACTGGTGATTACCCGGCAATCAAGCTTGCAATGAAACATGTTAATCATCAAGGTTATTGGTGTTATTGGTTTTGCTACATACAAGGTATTCATATTGATAACAAAAGACAATATTATTTCCAAAATGAACTTGTTCTTCGATCAACAACTGAATATGCACATTATTCAGAGAAAGCAGAAAGAACAAACAAAAATATATTTGGTCATCTTGGTGTTTCTCCTCTTGCTACCGTTTTTAATATCCCTTTACCACGTTGTTTAATTATTGATTATATGCATGTGTCGCTTCTTCGTCATACACGCACTGTTATTCAATATCTTTATCAAAAATATTTAAAACCGAAACAAAGAAATGAGCTAGATGAGGGTAGGTGTGGGATGTGGGTGTGGGTGTGTGGGTGTGGGTGTGGGTGGGTGTTGGTCTTCTCTTCACCCACACACCACACCCATATCCCATACCCACATCCACCCACCCACACCCCACACCCACACCCCACACCTACACCCACACCCACATCCTCACCCACACCCACACACCCACATGCACACCCCACAACCACACCCAAAACGTTTTTCACATTAATACTTCAAAGTGTTTACTACAAATATATTGTGAAATATTTTGTTCAAAATAATATACATTTGGAGAAAAACAAAGAACGAGTACAACACCCTCAAATTTTTGTCCCTTGTCCATCCTCGCGTTACGCTGTATATTTTTGCTATGATTTTCAGAATGCTTTGCTAAATAAACTCAGATTTACCGGATTCCAAGAGTACATAAGGAGACACATCTTCTGACGAAAAAATCAAATTTCTAAGTGATTTTGTTGCTGAGAAAATTTGGAGACACAGCGGACAAAACGTCATCGCGTTACGCTTGGACAAGCCGATATATATATATATATATATGATAATAATGTCGGACGACTCGATGAAATAGAAAGAAAATGTAGAGGTGGAATCAATGCAAACATGAAAACAAAAAAAAAGATGAGAAAAGAAAGAAGAGAAAAAAACACGGGAAAAGAAACGATGATGGTATATGTGAGGGCAAAGCCCGTAACAGTTTTCAAAGCAGAATTCAGCAAGCAATGATAGAGGAGGATCACATTGGAATCAGTCAAGGGTCAAGCAGGTTGTAACGTTAAACGTTAATTGTTTCTAGCGTAGTTTTCAATTTGAACATCGTGATCATCATTCTTCACCGTCTTCGAAAAGTTGATAGAGTGGATCGGTGATTGCTATTTTGTAATAGAGTGTTTTCGTTTGATAATAGTCAATTGTAGTTGAATATGATCGATTACATCTTGCACGAGATGAGCTCGTTCGACTTCAGCGCCACACGTTCGATTTTCTAAAG